ATATCTAAAAACAAATAAAAGCTTCTATGAAATTGCATGGTAAGCATATAGCTCCCTTAGCATCCTGAGAAATGGTGATTTTCAGCAAATAGTTACTTTCTTCAAGATAAGCCTCAAAGATCATTGCAGAAAATCTCTCTTCTTTAGCCCTTTTGCTGCTATGGTCGGCTATATCCGAATGAATATTTCCATCCGCTGACTCTAGATGGAAAAAAGGAAGTTTAGGAAAGCAAACGTACATTTTTCTATATTTTTGTGTTTTTCAAGAATGAATAACAATACGAAATTTTTATACATAAAAATAATGTCATTCATATACAAAGCAGCACAAATTATTAAATGCATAACAGTCAAAATATAAATTTTTTGTTCTTTGTGGATTGCTGACATATTTTGGAAAAAAAACTTGAAATCAGTTAACACAGCAAAAGAGTTAGAAAAGGGAGAGAAGTGGACTGATGCAGAGGGTGGTTACAGTGATGAGCAATGAGCTGCAAAATAGATCCTTTCAGAGGTGAAGCCCAAGTAAACAAAGTCAAGGGGAATGGACTTTATCAGGATGGTCAGTGAATTTGGATTCTACTGCTGCTGTATCAAATTACCACAAACTTGGTGGCTTAAAATAAGGAAAATTCATTATCTTACAGTTCTAGAGGTTGGAAATACTAAAAGGTCTCAGTAGCCTAAAATAAAGGTGACGTCAGGGCTTCATTCATCCAAGGGATTCTGGGGAGAATCTGTCTCCTTGCCTTTTCCAGCTTCTGGGAGCTGCCTGCATTCCCTGGTCCCTGATTTCCTTCCATCTTCAAAATGAGCAATGGCCTGTCAGCCTATCCAGTCTTTCTCATGCTATTTTACTGTGGCACTGATTCTTCTGCCTGGCTCTTCCACATTTAAAGTACTCTTGCCATTGCATTGGCCAAAATAATTCACCATATTCTTAATCATTAAATTCAGCTGATTAGCAATCATAATTCCATTTGCTTAATTCCATCCACTCTTAATTCTCCTTTGCCTTGTAACATCATATATTTACAGGTTCTGGAGAATAAGACGTGGACATGTTTGGGGGAAATTCATACAGTCTACCACAGTGAGAGTGCCATTTAATTCGGTCTGAAAAAGGGGAACAGTACCAGTAGGTTTGTGCTCAACGACGTTTGCTCTGTTTTCCCATAGCACAGGAAGGAGGGGCTCAACACTAGAGGAAGGAGGTTAGGGATGAAGGAACAGAGGAATAAAAAACCACCAGGTCTCTAAAAAGTTTGAGAACCACTGGTCTGTACAGCCATGAAATTGGATGACTGGATAATATCACCTGGGGAGAAAGTAGGAGGAAAGAGAATACGGCCCAGGACCAAGAACCAAGGTGTTTGAACATTAAGAGATTACCTATTTCTTCTCTTCTACTTACAGGAGACAGAAAGGATAGGCATAGAGATGGGAGAATCTGAAGAAAACATGGTATCATGGAAGCCAATGGGGATGGAAAGTGCAACTGTACTGATTTTTACAATCTTAACCCCCAAAAGGCTATCCTATTTCCCTCTTTCCTAGATTGAGGGTGGAAGGGAGACCTTTCTGTGACTCCCCACCAAACAGTATTAAAAATGTGATTAGAAGTCGTAAGACCTTGGATAAGTCCTGTAACTTCTAGCACCCATTTCCTTATCTGTAAACATATATATATATATATATCTGTAAATATATACATATAATGTATATATGTATATTTATACATATATATACACACATATATATGGTTTGTCTCTTAGGTTATATGAGGAAGAATAAATTAATTTATGTAAAGTACTTGGCACAGTGCCCAGAATATTCTAAGCTTCATGGTACACAGTACTCAAATATTAGCTATTATTATTTATAGAAATCTTTTAAAGTTTCCTAAGATGCCAGTCTTCAGATGCTTATTTGACTGCATCTGATTTCTTAAAACACTTTAAGGTCATTTCCTTCCCTTCTTTTATTTCCTATCCAGTGTCACATATGGAGCCTACATTAGTTAACAACAGTTGACTTTGGCATTAACAAGAGGTGATTAATGAGGGTTGGCAATGTTGTATAAGAAGTCAACAGTTAAAGCTCCTGCATTTTTGTGGTTATTGATTATAATGTTTTCTTCTTTATTATCTGGGGGAAATGTTTTTGCTGGATTTCCTAATTTCCAATTTTGTATGCTCTTGTAAAACTCAAAAGCGAACTTAAAGAGAAGTTGTAGGACATAGTACTGAACATTCAGTAGATGCTCACAAAAAATACCTGTTGGTTTGACTGGCTATTTGGGATTTTCTGTATTAGAGTTAACTTTCTTAACCGTATTCAACCATACTATTTGGTTGTCGGAAAAGTCATGACGTATTTTTCCTATGTTTTTTGTTACAAAAATGCGTCATGACTTTTCCAACACCCCAATATTTCTCTACCTTCCATCTTAATAAACTGGCCTGATTTTTACTTTTTGGCTTTCTAGTTTCCATTTTGAGTTACTTTAAAATTCAGACTCTAGCCACTCTGGGATCTTGTTACCTTTCCTGTATATTGGTAGAACCCACAGAGATGCCTATTTAAAAAAACATACAAGTTAATTTGGGTAACTTTATTTTTATATACTTTTTACATTGTATTCATCCTACCAGTTCCCCAAGCCTCCAAAAAATCTACTTTTCTGAGCTAATGTGCTATCGTTTTCATACTTCTTTCCTGAAAGATGCTGTCTTCTGGTTTTCTATGACCAGTTTCCATCCACCTTTAGGTCTTTAATTATTTTGCTCCTAGATTTTTCTTCCTAAGGAAGATCTGAACCAAGAAATACATCAACTCCATAGCATTCTTCCCATTTTTATGTTAGGAAATTATTCTTGGCATTCTCAAATCTTGGCACTTTAGACTTTTAAAGTAAATCATTATCTAAAACCACTCATTGTACCAGAATCAGAAAGATTCCACTAGCACTTCATCTTAGACCTGGAGGTAAGAATGGATGACATGAACAATACCTCTTAAACTTTTTTTCCTTTAACCTAGTATCTGACAGGCCCTTTCCTTTTTATTTACTTATTTTTGATTAGGTCAACATTCCTGTGGCTCTAATTTTAAAAGTTCAAAAGATTGTCTCCTTCCCACTTTTTCCCAGTCACCTAACTTAACTTCTCTGCAATCAATTAATGCAATCATTTTCAGTATCCTTCCAGAGAAATTATATGCATAAAATTCTTATCTTTTTGCACAAATGTTAGCCTAACATATTTATTGCTTCGTACCATACATTCGAATTTAGAAATATGCTTTTCTGATTTTACCATATCAGTTCATCAAGATATTTTTAATTTCCAAAAAAACCAAGAAACCAACAAAAAATAACCCCACCAGTTCTGTCTTGAGGAAGTGGGTGCATGATGGGGCTTTCTCCAAAGAAAAACTGGGCAAACTGAAGAGGTGCATATAGTAAGTGGCCGAGACCTAAGCTGCTTCTAATCCCTGCCACATTTCCACACTGCCAGAGATCACGAGAGCTTGGATGGGACTGCAAGACAAGACTTGACAGAGCAGAGGAAGAGGAACCAGGACCTACCCGACCTGGTGCCTGACACTTGGCTGTGGGGCCACAGACAGGGAGGATTGTATGACCCCGTGAGGGTCCTGACAGGGAAACGCCCTGTTTCTTGGCCAACTGTGGGGACGGCAAAATGGCAACATGTGTTATTGTTTCAAATGTGATAAAAGCAGTGTGCCTGCAAGAAAGTATCTGGATGCAGAGCAGTGGATTGAGTCTCTCCTGGGGTTAGAGGTCTAGGCCTGCCTTTGGAAGAGGGGCAGTGGTGAGGCCTCCGTGGCAGCCCCCTCCCCACTTTCTCTGCTCCCTGCCGCCTGAACAATGAAAGAACGTGGGGGGGGGAGCACCTCAGGCCCTCAGGGTCGGTCTGGCCTTGGATGGCCTCTCCCCTTCCAGCCAGCATTCTCACAGCCCCTCTCCCATCCGCGTCCAGAAAGGATGGCGGCCGCGAAGCGGGAGGGGGAGGTGGGCAGACACCCAGCACTCTGGGGGTTCACACACACCTAGGGGCGGTTTGTGCCCACCCTCTGCTGCTTCCAGCGCGGCTGCTCCGGACCTCCGGATCCTGCACCCTCATCCCGGCCCGCGGGCGCCACAGATCGCACGCCCGGAAACGTCGTGGGGGGTCGCCGGCAGGGGGCCGCGGATTTCCACGGAGGCGGGCTGGCGTGGACCCGCCCCTCGGGCTGGGGCTCCTCCCGGCCCCGCCCCCTCCGGGTGGGAACTGCTGGGCGCCGTGCAGAGGAGGGGGCGTCAAGCCCATTCGCCCGGGCTCCCTCCGCCCCGCTTTCCCGACACCCCCGCCGCCAGCGGTTCGTGCCGCATCCTGCGCAGCCCCTGCCGGCTTTGGTGCAGCGGCGCGGGGGCGGGACGCCTCTTTGCAATTCGGTGCGCACGTAAGGCGGTGGGAATCCGACTGAGGAGCTCGGAGCG